TCTTACTTACCTCATCATCCCTGGAAGGCACCAACACCTCCACAACAATTAACCCAATCTGCTCCAGCGAAACACCTTTTCCCTTTTCCAAACACCAGCTAGCTTGGTCCATCCCCTCAGACAAAGGATTTTGCAAACTACATTGTCCCTTATCAGGACATTCCACAAATCCCCCATTCTGCAGTTGATCCCCATTTGCATCCATTAAGACAAAAAATATGTTCCCCAAATCTTGATTTGTTTCAATAGTCTTTTGCCTGAATTCCTTCCTTTGTTTCACTTTTTGCCCCTCTTGCAACACATTCTTCCCCTTATTATTTTTTCGGCCATTTCCAGGATTATTATCTTTCACAACACTAGCCAACTTCTCCACATCAACCACAACACCCTTACCTTTCTCCATCTTCTCTCCCCCATTTTGCTCTTTATCAGATGACTTCACAACACTCTGAACACCATTAATCTCACCACCCTCCTTCTTCTTTTTCCGACAACTCATAACATCATGCCCTTGTTTTAAGCAAGTTGAACAGTACTTTACATTTTTTTCAAAGACAATCTTTTGCCATTTACCACTCACAACCCCCTTGTCTAACCAAAACCTCTTTGGGTTCTCAGCCAGCAAATTAACTTCCACACATGCTCTAGCCACCCCTGGCCTGATTAACTGCAAAGTAGCTTTGTCAATAACCAGAATTCGACCAACAGGACTCAAGATATCCCTTAAACTCTCCTTGTTAAAGAGATGAATTGGAAGACCTGGTAACGAAACCCAGACAGGAACTACATGAGGCTCAATCTCAGGAAAAAACTTTGGGAACCATTTAAAAAATCTAAAGAGAAATCCCTCGATATACGTCGCATCCTTTAGCCACGCTTTAACATAATCTTCATATAGCTCAAATTGAATCAATATATGTCGAGGATCCAAGATCCCAACATGAAACTCACCTTTGGGCATCCAATGCGTAATTATAAACTCTCGAATCACCCCCAGCGATGGTTTCCCATACACACAATTTCCAATTAGAGTCTGATCAAACTTAGCAGACAAATCCTGAGTTTCCTCTGCTGACCAGTACATTCCTGGTTCACTGTTGTTATATATCACTCTTTTTGCTACTTTAGTACCACTTATCGCAGACACTAGAAGCTTTTCAGATTCTCGCACAACTCCGGGCAAGTAGGTGAAAGTACTCACCAGTTTCGAAGAATCTAGAAAAACCCCTTTCTCTCGATCGATAGAAAAAGGTTTACCAATCCCAGCAAATTGAATTGATGCAAGATCTTGACCAATTAAGTCAAGTCGAACAGCCAAATGATCTGAATTAGACGAAGAAACATTAACATTCGATATTCCCTGACCAATCGAAGACATTCGAACAGTTGAAGGGAATTGAGTAATCAGGGGACTTTGGGTAATCGAAGGAACTTCGACAATTGAAGTATTCTGAATAGATGAAGGAATATTAGGAGGCATTATAAGATTTTCCACTTGATCAGAACGNAGTTGAAGGGAATTGAGTAATCAGGGGACTTTGGGTAATCGAAGGAACTTCGACAATCGAAGTATTCTGAATAGATGAAGGAATATTAGGAGGCATTATAAGATTTTCCACTTGATCAGAACAAATCTCAGACGATGAATTATCATTTCTAAATTCAAAACCAATATCCGAGTTGCTGGACAGTTTTCCGCCATTTAGCGGATTCTTAAATAAAGAGGCAAAATTCCGAGTGATGTCAGGTGGTTTGGGTGGAATTGGACGAAAAGATTGATCAGAAATCATGAATCAATTTGTTAAGAACAGTCAGATCTCTCAGAACAAAACAAAAGATTAGAAAGTCAAGAAAATCCGAAGGAAAATTTCTAGAGAGAAGTCAGCTTCTCTCTCTAGAACTGAATAACTGCCTCTCAGTCCAAGAAGTCAGAGTTTATCTGTCATTAGTTTGTCCATTCCGCCCCCCTGCTAACCTCCTAATCTTGGATTTTTGGTTTGTTTAAAAGTCAAGCTCAAATGATGTTATTCTTGTTGATTGGTAACAGTTATTCATTCTCAATGAAATAGCTACTTCATGATTATTATGAATAAGCTGGTTAGTCTTATGCTTTGTGTGTTCTATAATCAATGCAGAATGCTATGATTAGCAGCATTGTGCATGTGACAAATCTGCCTCGCAAAAGAGTAGTGAAATGGTTTGAAGACAAACGTGCTGAAGCTGGGGTTCCTGATCATCGCCCCCCTTACGAGCAGTCCAATTCCGAAACTGTTACACGTTAAAGACTATATTGTGGTGTGTATTCAAATATTGCTTTATAATGGTATCTTTTATAGAATTTCCCATATATATTTTCTTCTCTTTCTTTGTTCTAGGTTTTATTAGACTAACTAACACCTACTTGCTTACTAAGACAAATTAATTGAATTACAGAAAATAAATATGTAGCTCCAGGAGATTGAGTCAGCTTCCGAGGCACCTCAGCTTTGTTTTCCATAGAATATTATCTCCAAATAGCTTGTGTCCCTTTAAGCTGACTCAAACTAAGCAGGATATGGTGCTCTAATGAGGTAGAGTAGTGCATGACAGCCACAAAACTTTAGGAAGCAAGTCGACAGACTTTCAAAGGCAAATAAGCACATCTTATGCGAGTTGTATAAATTTGTCAAAGGTTAAGTTTTGGATTTTGTTAGTGACGTTTCCCTTTCTGCTTGCTTCTTCAAGAGAATGCTGACACTCCTTCAACCTTTCTTGTCTCCCTTTCCTCCTTCCCGTAAAAGATATTTAAGAGGAAAAAGAAAAAGAATCATGAAAGAAGTTGTAAACTTGTTTACTATGTTTCTTGCAGTTTCATGAATGTAGTTTGCTTGTTCTACTGAAGTGGAAGAAAGAAAGGAAAAATACTGTTCAGATATTTGTGTAGGAAGCTGTATATGTTATCTTCTATGTTCCTTTATTTTCATTTCATTGTGTTCTTTGTTTTGATAGAATTCTTTTAATTTTCATTTTGTTCTGCTCCTGGGATTGTGGTTCTTCCATAGTGTTCAAATGATCATTGATGAAAATGAATGATACTGTAGAATAGAGTGAGCATGATTCTTGCATTAGGATTTTTAGTCTATTCACTTACACATTTATGAGCATCAAAATTTAATTTTCGGCATGTTGTCTTGGTCATGTGTTTGAAAATAATTCAGAAANAGAATAGAGTGAGCATGATTCTTGCATTAGGATTTTTAGTCTATTCACTTACACATTCATGAGCATCAAAATTTCATTTTTGGCATGTTGTCTTGGTCATGTGTTTGAAAATAATTCAGAAACAGATTGAAAATGGAGAAAACATTTTGATAATTTGTTTTCTAAACATTGGTTAAAATATATCAAAACATCTTAAAATACATTAAAACATTAAATTTCAATATTCAATTATTGATTTGTTTTAGTTTTTATTTTATGGAAACAAACACCTTATGGTTGTTTCAAAACACAATTTTGATTCTTGGAGACATAGTATGTACTTACCCTGTCACCCCAAGATAGAATAAAAAAGGAAAGACTTATTTTGCATGAGAATTTTCTACAATAACATGGAAGTACAAAAGAGCTTGAAATTTAACACGACTGTACCAGACAAACATTTCCAGTTCCTTTTCCGGATTCATCTCCTTAGTCACCACCAAACAGTTCTGTACAGTGAAGGATAATTCTTAGATAAAGGACAACTAAGCCTTCAAACGAATAACTTTAGGACTTGAAAATTCAATATAGACTTTGAAATTTTTTTAGTTTAATGGGTATTTTTATCGGTTTTGTTGTTAATTTATAACTTTTGTGAGTGTTTTTATTATTGTTGTGATAACTATTTTTATCACTTTTCTTCACTACGACAATAATGATAAAAACAATTACAAGTGTGACAAGTGTTGATACGGTATCAAAATTATTTTTCTCGATACCGTAGACAACTTAACATGGTCATTGACATTTGAGGATTAAACCAAGTTCCCAATCAAATATAATTATTCTTGTTCAAATATATATATATATATAGCAAATATCGTTGTGAAGTGTCTTATTCAAAGATTAAAATTTTGTTTCGGTGTATTATTTAGGTCACTTAAGAAACGGAAACGTTTGGAAATGTTTTGAAAACAGAATAAAAAAAAATAAAAAATTTAAGAATTATTTTTTCAAAATATTGGTTGAGATATACCAAAATATTGGTTGAGATATACCAAAATATCTTGAAATATTTTAAAATATTCTGAAATAATTTTACAAATATATTAAAATATAACAAAATATTTTGAAATATTATAGCACACTTCAAAGTACTATAATTTTAATTCTATCATTGATTCGTTTCGATTTCCTTGAAAACGGAAATATTTCAAATATTTCAGCAGTTTCGAAATGATATTTTGATCCCTTATCTTATTTACTCTTCAAAATCCAATTCAAAATTGATCAAAAATAAAAAAAGTATGTGTAAAGGAGGGCACTATTCACATTCAAAACATTATATTTACTTATGTCATCCTCTTTGGTGGTGGATAAAATGTGGCCGCATGTCACATCAACATTTAAATGTCAAGGGTAGCCTAACAATTATTGTGAATATCAAGTGGTGTAATTGTAATTTATCCATCATTGTTTAAGCCCATTTATCCTAGGTAGAGACTTCATAGTTATATCCGTACGATCTTATTAAATTAATTAAGTTGAACACAATTTTACAAATGAACTTATTCTTCATTTTGAAATGTTCTTAAGGTTGTTTTGTCTCAAAATAAACTGTGCTTCACAAGATCTGCCGCCATTGGCATCAATCCAGTGACAAACATAGAAAGCACTCATAAATTTCCTCATTTATTCCTTGAAATGGAGATAGTTTTCAGAGGTAGCATCTGGACTTGGATTATTATTTTCTTCACCATCTAAGGCTGAAGATATAAGAGAGTGATTTTGTGTGTGTTTGAGAGAGAGATAGAGAGATTATGGCTGCTTTACAGAGGTCTGAACTATCGTATAGAAGGCAAGGGTCATCTGCAGGTATAATATGGGAGGATCGGTATTTCTCTGGGGACTTGAATCTTATGAAGCAGAGACAAGAAGGAAAGAAAGGTGACCTGAGGAAATGCCAAAGCGACGGATCCTCTGGAATGGTTACAAGCAGCAGCTCAAATGGAGGACCCCCGAAACGCTCCAGGGTAGTATCAACGGCCTCAGACCCTCCCTCTCCTAAGCTTTCTGGATGCTGGTGTGTTGCCTTTTCAGCAAAACCTAAATCTGAGTGACCCTTAATCCTGACATTTGTTCGTGTTCCCTGCTGTGCATTATTGGTTTATTTGTCATTGTTGAAAACTTTTAGCCCAAGTGTGCATGAATCTTTTTTTTGTATTCTCTCTCTTTGGTATTACTCTGTCTATGTGATTCCTGTATAAATTACTTCAAGTTCAAAGTCCAAGTGCAAGATAGTATAGTCTATTACTTAAACAGTAATGCTTNTCTTTGGTATTACTCTGTCTATGTGATTCCTGTATAAATTACTTCAAGTTCAAAGTCCAAGTGCAAGATAGTATAGTCTATTACTTAAACAGTAATGCTTATATATTGCATGGTTCCCCTCTCTCCCTCTCACACACAGGCGCGCGCTCGTGCACATGTGCAAACATCCACGCCTGGCCTATGTATGTTGTTCCATTTTGACACCCACATCCTTTTTATGTAGTGCAGTATGAGGTAATAGAATAACGTGAGAATTGAATAAATTTGGCAATGCTATGGAATAGAATGTATGATATTTGGAGAATACCAATNGTGAGAATTGAATAAATTTGGCAATGCTATGGAATAGAATGTATGATATTTGGAGAATACCAAGATAAAATACTGAAATAAAGAATGTTCCATTTCATTGATAAAATTATACCTCAATCATTCCGTTGATAAGATTTGTGTGTGCACGATCTTGCACAATATAATCTCGAGAACAGATCTCTCCCGTGGTGAACTCGAACCAATCAATCAAATGGTCAGCCTCGTTGTTTGGAAAAGTGTGAGATTCGGTGGTAACCTGGAACGATAATGGGAGACTCCCGTGGATCAACGGAACGATCCAGTAAGACTGAGGAAGGTCCCTGGAACAAAAAAAGACAAGTTAGAAGGGCGCCAGAGTGTTTTTCGGCGTATCCCCTCCGACGATCAAATCAGTTTTTGAGAGAGAGGAAGAAGAAAACACTGAGTATATGTTTGAGCAAAGGTTTTTTTACCTTCTTCTCTTGCCTTTTGTGAGGAGTATTTATACCTCAAATACTCATGATTGCTGTCAGTGTGATCAGTAGGTGATCATTAGATACAGGCAACGTGCGCACTGATTCCTATGAGGAATGTCTTCTCTTTTAACTGCTCGGGATCCCGAGCAACCAAGGCTGTGTCATCGGCCTGCCAACTGTTCAATGAGCTCCTCTCGGCAAGGATGTAATAAATGTCCAGCCTTAGAGACATTTATTACCTTTCACTTCCGATCCTTACCGCATTAAATGCTGTCTCATCAAGGGAATGGTGTAATTAAATGCTTACTTTCCCAAGTCGTATGTCAGCAAGGGCATCCGGTCTTTCTGTCTCTGATGTGACACAATATGCGACGCATCCATTCCCCATTGGCTGTGTCCCCTGCCTTCTTGTGCCTTCTGACATCAATTGTGTAAGACAAGGTCATGATGGTTAACCTAGCCTAACCTAAACTAGTGACCTGTACATCAGTAGCCTCTGCGGGAGCAGAGAATGCCATCCTGGACGGTACACCTTGGAACCGAGAAGGAGGTACATCTCGGAATCGAGAGGGAGGTACATATAGGGACCGATGTACCATATCCCCCGACCGAGGGATACGTGTCGGTATATAACGTACTGGATGCTATTGATCCCTACGACCATTACCTCGGGGGAGAGGGACTTGTGAACCGATGGGTACGTGTCGTGATCACAGTAACAAGAATTTAGTGACACCGAGGACATGTGTCTTCATCTTGGAGTATTTTGGAAATGTCCCATCAACTGCCCCCCAGCCTTCGATCTTCTGACACCGAGGACACGCGTCGTAAGCAGACGAAGGGTTCTACAACAACCTCAACTGCTTCATCATTGCCTCTAACCGCTTTCCCCTGCTTAGGACGTCGTGCGTATTAAATGCGCCTTTTCGTGCTTCGCGCCCAATGATGGGATAAGTACTATATATAAATGGGCTTCCTTTCTTCTTTCCTCATTTCGTCATTCTGAACTTTCTCCAGAGAGCCCTTGCCTGAAACTTCGCCGGAGATCCCTTTCCTTCCGTTGTCAACTGCCCAACCATTTCACCGGAGTCTTAAGGCCAGCAGACCCATCCTTGCTTCTGAACATTTTGGAAAGAGTCGCTTCAAGTTTTCCAGAAAAAATTTCTTTTTACATTTCTGGTGAGTTCTAGTATCTTCCCTCTCTTCGCCCTTCTGTCTTTTTTGGTTTTCCGATAACGGGAGGTGTTTTCTAGTTGCCATTCAGCGACCAATCCTCGGGAAGCCTCCTTGGGGATCTTCATGAAAAATCCCCTCCTTATTCACTGTTTATCACTTTTTGGAGATGCCCCGTCGTCGCCCTGCCCCCGAGAATCCTCAGGCCAGTTCTTCGAGGCCAGGGAAGTATAAAGTAAAAGAGGGTGAGCAAATTAATAGTTTTAGGGTTAAGTACAGCATCCCCTCATACGTAAACATAAAGGATTATGACTCGGCTATGCATTCCCGTACCCTCGGGGTCGAGGATGAAATGTCATTTTATACCAAAGCCGTCATAGAGGGCGGAATTAGGTTTCCTCTGCCCCCTCTACTCCTCCAGTTCCTCTCCCATTTCCATCTCTTCCCCGGGCAGTGTTGCCTTAATGTCTTCAAAATAATTATGGGAGTCCTAGAGCTCAACAAGCGTCTTGGGGTAAATGTTGGGCTGAACGATATCCTTTTTGTTACTCCCTCTTGAGAGTCATGCCTCAACAAAACTTCTACCTCAAAGCCAGGGACCCATCCATGTACCTCGTAACCCATCTTCCCGACTCGAACAAGGGGTACAAGGATGACCTACTCATCTTCAAGGGATTTTGGCAGAGGGGTGCTAGTCCCAAGTACAACGACTTGTTATGCCCTTTGGAATGGAGAACGACAAGTATGTCGGCTTCTTTGGGTCTATTGTTTTGTTCTTGAGATTTTTTTAGCAGAGTTCATAATTCATTCCCTTCTATTTTTATTTGTGTTCAGACATCTCCCCTCGGGAAACAGTTCCTCCACCTCGGTCATTGGTGAACTTTGCGGACCTAGTCACTGTTTGGAGATTTACTGGTGACGACGGGTTCGGTCGGGCTGCCTACATCCTCCTAGATTACACTCCCGGATATAAAAAGTTTTCACAGCTTCCCCAGCCTTTCGAGCCTTCGCGGTGGTCTGAACTCTTCGATTAGGCGGTGAGGCAAGAGGACGAGGAGAATTTGGAGGAAGACCCTGACTGGGCTACGGAGACAGAAGTAGAGGGTGAAGCTGAAGAGCTCGGGGTAAGAGAGGACTTGGTTCCTTCGCACGCCGAGGTGGGGACTTCGGGGAGAGATTCGTGGCCTGACTTCCAAATCCTCCAATCTCTAGACGCCGAGGACGCTCTCGAGATAGCTATGTCCAACACGCCCCGCATTGATCTAGAATTCTTGAGGCAGAGGCAAGCCCTCGCAGCCAGGCGAGGGCGTGGGTCAACAAGCGGCCCCCCACCTACAGGGACTAGCGCCACTCCACCTTCAAGGGCCGTTGGTCGGGGCCAAGTGCGCTACCGAGATCCTTAGATCGAGGTGGAGAGGAGGATTAAACAAAGGCACAATGGCCTAGGTAGGGGATCCAGGGCTCCCTCTGCTCAACAGCAAAGCGGGAGAGGCCATGGGTTACCTCCTCCTCCACAGCAGCAACAACAGCAGCAGAGGCAACAATAGCAACAGCAGCAGGAACAGACTCCCCCTCCCTTTCCTCAAACGGTGGAAGCCGCAGAGTGGAATCCTCGGGCGACCGATCACATGAACCGGGGATCGGGGTTGACGACTCCATTTTGCAGGACCCCCATGTTGCCAACGTAGTGGGAGAGATGCTGCACTTTGAGGCCGACATGGTGGCTCACAGGGGGAGATCAACGAACGTGTTGTTTCGCTCTATCATCCAGAATTCTCTGGTGGTAAGTTCATTCTTGCTTCAGTCTTTCTAGTCGCTTCCCTATTTTATTGACATGCACTTTCCTTTGCAGGCCACCCAACAAATTTCTATAGTAGCAGCGCGGTATCATGGGGTTAGGATAGACCTCTAGTAGGCTCGAGAGCAGAAGGAAGAAACCGAGGGAGCCCTCACCAGTGCTAAGGAGGATGTCGCTGCTAGGGATTCCACCCTCGTGGGGCAGGCTGCTCAAATCGAACAACTCCTCAAGGATGCCGAGTTGGCGAAGGTCGGCGTTGAAAAGCTAAGTGCTACCTTGGCCGACGCTGAGAGGAGGATTACAGAGCAGACGCAGCGGCTTTCTGTGGCAGAGGAGAGGGCTGTTGGTTCAGAGGAAAACTGTTTGGCTCTGACCCAAGAGCTAGACAAGATCAGGGCTGAGGTAGAAAGCAGGAAATCCGAAAAACAACTCCGAGAGGAATTCGCCGATGATGTACTGCCTGCTCTTGAGGAAAATAGCAGAGAGTTCTTCAAGAAGGGGTGGGACGAGACGCTCCGATCTGCCGGGGTCCCTCCAGACTCCCCGCTCTTCCAGATCCACAACTATGTGCAATCGACTGAGATGAAACAGGCAGAGGCTGAGATTGCTACCGAGGGTGCGACTCTAATGCCGATGCAAGTTTTGGCAGACCTGCCTGAGGTGGTGATTCTAGTCCCCATCAGAGGAGGCTTCGTCGGGCTTGGCACCTGACCACAATGTTCCCGAGACTCTTACTGTCGCCGATCCGGTCCAATCCCATCCTGTGCTCGAAGATGCCCAACCTTTCTGCGTTGATTTGCCCTCCGGCGATGTTTTGGAGATGCCCGGGGCCAGATGAAAGCTCTTTTCTTTTTGATTGTACTTTTTTCTCTTGTAGCTCTTGGGGACGCAAAACCTCTTTTTTTGAAATAAAGCTTTTTTGGAGTACTTATACTTTCTTGCGTGCATTTTTTTTTTTTTGGTGTAGGAGTCCTTGAACTCTGTCCTCAGAGCCTTACCCTTCTAGGAGGCTTGCTCCTGTGTGTGCTTTGGGGGCAGGAGTCCTTGAAAT